AACCGCCAGGGCCTAAATTCTGTTTCCACAATAGAGGGGACTGGCTGGGCGCTTGGCCCCTGGGCCCTCTGTCTAGTCAGAGCCTGACTCCCGCCCGCCTCTCAGCTGGGTCACTGGGGGGGGGGGGGGTGGTCCTCAGCTCCACACGCCCCCATCCACCTGTGCAGCGGGGGTCAGCGTGGTCCCTGCTCCCCGGGGTCGCTGTGGGGATGAAAGGCCTCATACAGGAGGGCGGTGCGGAGAGCCACCCCTGCCACCTGACCCAGCAGGCACTCGGGGCCCAGGGCCTGCCGTTTGGGGAACACAAAGCCAGACTGAGTCTCGGAGCAGAGAATTTTCTCAAGGGCTGTTCACGGCACTTGGTTCCGAAGCTGCGGCCAGGAGAGCCCTGTGCTCTGGGAGGGACCGCGGCCTCGGGAGGCCCGGGAAGCAGCGAGGCCCCTGGCATCTTAGTCAGCGGCCGACACAGGGAGAGAACGCCCTGGAGCGTCAGCCGCAAAGGAGCCAGGAGGCTGCTGTCACGCCAAAAAGAACGAGAAGAAGGAGTCTCCCCGCGGAAGCCAGCAAAGATGGCCGCCCTCCCTCATGCGGGGGCCCTTTCTCACGTTCTGATCCTGGCAGGTGACTGTCGTGTTACCTGTGCCGTCTCCACAGCTGACGGGACACTATGACCCAGTGTGACCCGCCTCTCAGACACACGTGACGCCGGGGCGCCTGGCCTGTGGCCCTGTGCCGCCCCCCCCCCCAGCGGGGGTGCCCCTGGGTGCCATGCAGAGAGGCCCGGTGGGTGGCGGGTGGCGCACATTGTGGGCAGCAGGGGACCCAGCCGGGGCGGCCCGGAGTCTGAGTCCTGCGGGCGCTGAGGACGAAGGCAGGGGCGGCTGGTGAAAGGGACGTTCATCTCCCAGAAGCACAGGGGCGCGATGGACTCAGGGACGTTTATTGAACATGCGTTTGTTCCATCAGAAGCTTTTCAGGAGCAAATTACATGGTTATAAAACTGTGGGTGCGCTTCGTGCCCTGGGCTCGCAGGAATGGAATATTCCACCGAGTCAGAGATCGGGGGCCCTGACCGACGAGATTTAAGATGCACATGAGACGAGGAGGAAAGAGGCTGCCTACTGCCAGGTTCCTGTCAGCCTGAGAGCCACGCGAGCAAAGAACTCGGTGTGCAACTAACTGAGTCAGCGATGGGCCTGGCCAAGCTCCCCGCGTTGCCTGGGGGATGGAGACGCTCCCTCCAGCCAATGGGAAGAGGCTTCGCACAGGACATGCGCAGTCGGCGGGGTGATGCACAGCACATGCGCAGTCCGCGGGGTGATGCACTGGCGCTGGGCTACCTGCCCTCTGGGAGGGCGCCGAGGTCGGGAGAGGGTAGGGGGGGTCCAGACAGTAAGGTGAGCCCAGGAAGCACATGGAGGGCACGTAGAGGGACGTGCTGAGCCGCGCCTCTCCGTCACCCTGGGTGTGGCTCCTGCCTGTTATGGCTCCTGGGGTGTCATCTCCACCAGCCACGTTAACAAGAGAGAATCCGGCCACTGGCCACGGGTCTGCTGTGCGCAGGGGCATCTCAGGGCCCCAGGGCAGGAGGCCAGGCGTCCGGCTGCAGGAGGAAGAAGGAGCATTGGAAGAGGGGGCTGGGAGGCGGGCGACTGGGAGAGCTCTGAGGTGCGCGTGCTCGCCCACCAGTGTCACCTGGCAGGAAAGCCTCCAGATGGGACATGGGGCGGCCCTTCCCGGAGAGAAGCGCACGGGCCTCTCTGTTTTTGCTTAAAAACTGTCTCCAGTTCCTAAATCTGCAGGGCGGGTCCGGCACACAGGTCCGCACTCTCCCGTCCCCAACACCTTCGTCACCGGCCCCTCCGGGCGCGAGGCCTCTGGTTACGGTCAGTTATGTCCATCCGGATGCTGCCGGGCCTGACAAGTTCTATCCGGAGCTGAGAACCCAACTCAAGTCTAAGCATAAGCCTCCACAGATCAGTGGATACGACCTTGCGCCAATCAAAAGGTTAGGATCGCCCGGCTGGTGTGGTTCAGTGGTTGAGGTTCGACCTATGGACCAGGAGGTTGTGGTTCGATCCCAGGTCAGGGCACAGGCCCGGGATGTGGGCTCGATCCCCAGCAGGGGGCGTGCAGGAGGCGGCTGATGGATGATTCTCTCTCATCATTGATGTTTCCATCTCTCTCTCTCTCTTCCTCTCTGAAATCAATAAAAACGTATATATTTTTTTTAAAAAAAAGCTTAGGATCCCCTGTGTAGGGAACCAGGAAGCAGAGGGGCGGGCGTTAGTGCTGGGCGGGCACAGCCTCCCGCTGGAGATGAGAGAAGTTTCTGGAGCTCTGAGATTGCACAGTAGCGTGGGCATATTTAGCGTTAATGAACCGCACAGTGAAAAGCGGTGAACACGGCCCCCTTCGTCTCGTGGCTTTCAGCACAATGCTCAAAAAGGACTTTAAATGACAAAGTCATAAGAATTTGAATTCCCAATCGGAAAAGGAAATGGGCTCAGAACAAATGTTTAAGAAGGAAATTTAAAAACATATAATGGAACCAAAAGCGGGGGGAGGGGGGGGGCGAACCAAGGCAGCGCGGCGATGTGAATTGCCTGTAATCGTCCACTCTGGGGCCTGAGTGCTTCTTGCTGGCGCCGCGCAGGACAGCGGGGCGTTATCCGCTGCGGCCGCTCCGCCGTGGGGAGGCCGCCGGAGGACGGTTACCAACAAATGTCACAGCGCTGCCTGTCCTATGACCCACCCCCTCTGACTCAAATTTATGTCTGCAAGTTTCTCCCCGAATCCATCAGGGACGTGTGCAAAGGTGTTTGTGCTCAAACACAAACCACGGATGTTCTGAAACAGAAAACCTCCTGAACATTGCGAGCCGACGTGGTGGTACCATGGAGACACGTGGGGAGCTTTCTGGTTGGGCCTGAAACGAGAAGTCACCTGCCTTTCTTTCTTTTTTTTAAATGTGTTTTTATTAATTTCAGAGTGTGAGAGAGGGAGAGATAGAGACATCGGCGATGAGAGAGAATCATCGATGGGCTGCCTCCTGCACGCCCACACTGGGGAGTGAGCCTGCCACCCAGGCCTGTGCCCTGGACCAGGAATAAAACGATGACCTTCTGGATCATAGGCCGATCTCAACCACTGAGCCACGCCAGCCGGCCGCCTGCCTTTCTTACTTCTGCTCTGCAGAAACGGACATGCTGGCCGCACCCCAGCGGCCACCTGGGGCCACAGGGTGACCTTGAGGACAGGGTCCATGCCCTCCCTCGGCTGCTGATGCAGAAATAAAGCTGGGGCCTGGGCCTCGGGGGGCACCGCGCCGGCCCTGCACCCCATCCTCGGGAGTCCTTTAGTGAAAGCAGCAGCCGATTTGCCCTGGAGCCACTACGGCCGGTGGGGTGGACTGGACTGGACTGGACAGCGAGGGGCAGTTCCCAGCTCGTGCAAGGCTCAACGTCGCCTCAGCCAAGGCTGCTCCTAGCCCTTCCCTTACACAGCCCTGCACATCCCAGGAGTCACAGCAGGGAAGGGAGAGGCCTGGGGGAGCAGCTCCCAGGCTCCGGTGAGAGCAGGGGTTCCCGTGGGGTGTGAGGAGCAGGGTTGGGGACGGGCCTGGAGCCTGAGGGGCATCCCAGGCAGAGAAGGCTGAGTCAGGACACAGACCGAGCTCGTCAGACCAAAGGTGCCGAGGGGAGCAGATTGAATTAATTACTTATTCGAGACAAACGGTCTTGCCTCGGTGGTAACAGACCCACTGATGGCCCCCACGGAGGCATCACTATCACCCATGAAATGAAGGACCGGGAGGCGCCTTTGCAGTGAGAGAACAGAGAGGGAGCGCCCTGTCCACGGATTCCCCCCCGCCGGCGCATTTCCCCATGGACAACCTCACCTGTCGTCACTAGGCAACCGTCATGGCGCCTGTCACTGGGAGAGGAACTCCCGGCGACCTCTCACCCCCTGGGAGTCACGCTGTCAGCATTTCCCATCGGACTCCAAGGGGACATACCAGGCGGTGCCCACAGGCCACCACGCGCGTCACTGTCATGGGAAACGCGCGGTGACGGGAGGGGGGCCGCTCTTCCCACAGACACCGCTGCGTGGTCCCCGGCCCCAGGGCTGGTCCCCGGGAGGCAAGCCCATCCGTGTGGCACACACACCCGGAGGCGGACAGACTGACGGCCTCAGCCTTTCCGATTGGACACACGGCCCACACCGGTGACCTGGGGGCGCCAGGAGGGGCGCAGCCTGCAGCGTTTGATTAAAAAAGGAGTTCCAGCAGGAGTGAGAGGACGCTTCCATCAAATCAAGATCTGCGGCTTCTCTTGGAAAACCAGGAGATCCTAACAATTCAGAACATGGGTCTCCTGCAGGGCGACCTGGCAGGTGTCTGCCACGCCCCGCCCCCTCCACGCCTCCCCTGAGTGTCGCTCACAGGCTCCAGCTGCTTGGTCTCTGCAGGTGCGTGTGTTTGAGGCCCCTACGCAGTCACATTGCGGGATGCAAACATCCCATTATCGATGCCTTCCGGATAACGGGAGGCCCAAACCTAACACCTAGAGCAGCGGTTCTCAACCTGTGGGTCGCCACCCCTTTGGGGGGTCGAACGACCCTTTCACAGGGGTCGCCTAAGACCATCGGAAAACACATCTATCATTACATATTGTTTTTGTGATGAATCACGATGCTTTAATGATGTTCAATTTGTCACCATGACATTGGGGGTCACCACAGCATGAGGGGCTGTATGAAAGGGTCGCGGCATGAGGAAGGTGGAGAACCACTGGCCTAGAGTTTGGTTATTTTCCTCATAAGGAGCTATTATTCCGCTGTAGGGTAAGACCACTTTCCGAGTCGGCTATTTCAGCAGACGCCACGGTGCTGCGGCCCCCGCCTCCCGGTTTCCCACGGACACCTCTGCCCACGTCTGGGTCACCGGGCGGAGCCTCCCGTCCCTGCGGCCCGTGGGGTTGGCCCGGGGACATGCTCACCATGGCCAGGGGCACGATGCCGACCAGCTCCTTCTGGCTCACGTAGATCCTGGAGACGCCCAAGTCGGATGTGATGTCCCCTGGATACTCCACCTGCCACGTGACGAGCTGCGTGGCCGGCGGGTCGCTGGGCGCTTCGATTTCCACATCAATCTGCATGACCTCCTCGGCGGCGCTGGCGGCCCTGGGGGGAGGGGAGGGGTTCTTAGGTCGTGGTGCCAGCTCGATCCCCAGTAAGGGGGGGGGGGTGCAGGAGGCAGCTGATCTGTGATTCTCTCTCATCATTGATGTTTCTCTCTCTCCCTTCCTCTCTGAAATCAATAAGAATAAAAAAGGTGGGTTCCTTCCCGCCCCTCCCTCACTTACAACTGCTGTTATGCTGACCTCTAGCCTGTTTCTCATGGACGATGTCAGTGACCTTTGAAAGAGGCGGTGCTCTCAGTGAGAGAGCCCCAGCATTTCAGGGTAACAGAGAGAAGGGACTAACGGGGGGTGAGGGGTGCAGAATCAGGAGACACGAACGGCCTCTGTGCGGGAGCAGGAAAAAGGGCACAATTCTGTTTCCCTGGCGCTGCTCCCACCCCCACCCCACCCCACCCCCTGTGGGATCGTGTCTCCCCCCCACCCCCGTGGGATCGTGTCTCCACTCGTGAGCTGGAGCATCTGTGGGGGATGAAAATAGGAAGGGAACAAAGCTGCTCTCTCAGCTCCACGCCCTGACATTTCCTTAAACACGTTCACTTGGACCTGGAGAGCTACTTTATTTTAAAACATTTCTTTCTGTTGGGAGGTTTTTTTTCCTTTAAAAGGAATTCCATCTGCACCCACAGACACACTCGCTTTCCTGCCAGGGCTGCCGACGCCCCAGTCCCTCCTGTCTGCCCACAGGTGATGGGCGGGTGGGGGTGGGGCTCAGAGGCTCCGGAACCCCATGGAGCCCCGCCTGCAATGGGGGCAGGACGCAGCCTGGGGTGGGGGGGCTGGCGAGGCAGGTGGGTCCCTCCCCCCTCTGAGCTGGATCAGCTGCACGTGGTACACGTCTCCCCTTGGACTTTGTGCTGGAGAATTTCTCATTAAAAATGTCTCTGTACCCTGCGGGGGGGGGGGGGGGGTCGGGCAGCTCAGTTGGGTGGAGTGTTGTCTGATACACCAAGGTTGTGGGTTCGACCCCAGTCAGAAGCAGCCAATGGATGATGCATAAATAAAGGAGCAGCAAATCGATGCTCTTCTACTCCCACCCCCACCCCATTTCCTCTCTCTCTCTCTCTCTCTCTCAAATCAATTTTTAAAAATCATCTCTGGTCTGGCCAGTGTGGCTCAGTAGTCAAGTATGGACCCATGAACCAAGAGGCCGCTGGTTCGATTCCCGGTCTGGGCACAAGCCCGGGTTGCTGGCTCGAGCCCTAGTAAGGGGCGTGCAGCCCACTCATCGATGTTTCCATCTCTCAATCCCTCTTCCTTCCTCTCTCTAATATCAACTTAAAATATTTTTTTAAAAGTCTCTGCTACATCTGGCAGCCCAGTGCCTCTTCTTCGGCCGCCCCCTCCATTTTTTTTCAGTTTTAAGAGCGACACTAAGAGGTATTTGTCCATCAAGACTCCCTCTTGGTCAGCATGTGAGCGGCAGCTCCCAGGGAAGTGATGGCGATGAAACCCTCCGCGTGTTGACACCGGTTTTAACGCGTGGCCCCGAGGGAGGCGCCACGCCCCAGGGGACGGGACGATGGCCGGCGGGCTGCCCCCCCCCCCCAGGTGTCTCCATGACAGCGAAGCGACCTGTGAAACCTTCAGCGCCTACACGGGCACCGCCAGCTCAGCGCTGGTGCAAGGAAGGGGGGAGGCGGGGGGCGAGCCGGCGTCTCTCTCCCCAGCCGTGGTCGCTGTGAGCGGCGGGGGCGTTGCTGGAGGAGAGGTTCTACACGCCTGTGAATATGCAAACAAGATGACTAATTGATCGTGATGATAATTGCCACGTCTCCTAATGGCTTTCTCTACTCCCACCTGACATGACAAATGGAAGCCCCGGGAGGTTCCCGTGTTTAATTCTTTTGCGATGAAACGTAACTCAAGCGTGTACGTGGTGAGCCCTCACGCCGAAGCGGGCTGCTTCTGTGGGCTGATCGGGGAGCGCCAGCGTGAGCAGCCCACCGGCCTGGGCTCGATACACCGCTGTGCTCCTGCCCCCGGGGCTGCGGGTTCGAGGCGGGAGAGTTAACCTGCTGGTTGAGGTCACCAGACCGTCAGCTAAATTCTTGGGATAAATGTCAACGCATCCCGTTCAGCCTTGTGGCCTGAACACGCTTAGAGATGAACGGCAAGCCGATGTGGCCTTTCCGGTTTGCGGTCCGGCGGGCGATTTGCTAAAAATATCCTCCCGAGAAGGAGGTTTTCATGGAGGATTTTGCTGTTCGCCTCCAGGCAGAGGAGGCAGGCTACTCGCCCCTGACGTCATCGCAGCCCTCAGACGTTCACCCAGGAACCTCAGGGGTCGTGTCACCGACACACGATTTTACAGCGCGGAAGGCCGTCTGGCCAACATCAACTCTCCCTGGACGAGATGCCTGCTAAAGGCCCTGGGACGTCCGGCTGGGAGAATGGGCTCCGGGTGAATCACAGCCGGGGAGAACCCTGAGGATGGTACCCGTTATGTGACCTAATGTTCTCTGGGGGCCTCTGGATTCTCAACCTGAAAGCGTGGCTCAGTGGCTGAGCGGCATCCCGTGCACCAGGGGGTCATGGTTCGATCCGCGGTCAAGGGCACATGCCCAGGTAGTGGGCTCGATCCCCAGTAGGGGGCGTGCAGGAGGCAGCCGATGGATGGTTCTCTCTCATTGATGTTTCTATCTTTCTCTCTCTGAAAATCAGTAAAAATGTATTTTTTTTAAAAAAAAAAAGTTTTAAAAGTGATCAATAATTGCAACCATCTCCTGGAAACGTGGCCAGGCCTCTGAGGATGTGTGCGGGGTGTGGATGGGGGACACAGGGGAGAGGGGGAGCCCTGACCAGACTGGGGGTAACCCTCACACAGCCAACCTGGGGCTGTGCAGCTGTGGGGGACGCGACCTGTGCCTCTGGATGGACCGTCCAGCGCCGGCGACGATGATGAAGGGGGTCCCCCCGCATGCAAAGCACTTAGGCCTGCGCAGCCACAAAGCCGGCGAAGGGGTTTGGGGAGGCATCGCCTTGGGATGAGCTCCCGGCTGGGTGGGGGATTAAGCCTGAGTAAGTTGTGCTTAGAGTTTGGGGAGCGATGGCGATGTCAGCTGCGAGTTCAGCAAAGTTAGTTCTTTCTTTTCTCCTCGTCTAGCGCTGGGTTCCGACCTCTTCCTTCAGGGGACCCATTGGCCCGGGGAGCGGCGCTGTCCACGGTGCTGAGGCCACAGCGGCTGCCGGGGGCGCTGTCCGCGGTTCGGAGGTCACAGCGGCTGCCGGGGCGCTGTCCACGGTGCTGAGGTCACAGCGGCTGCCGGGGGGCGCTGTCCACGGTGCTGAGGTCACAGCGGCTGCGGGGGAGGGTGGGGCTGTCCAAGGTGCTGAGGTCACAGCGGCTGCCGGGGGCGCTGTCCACGGTGCTGAGGTCACAGCGGCTGCCGGGGGCGCTGTCCACGGTGCTGAGGTCACAGCGGGCGCGGGTGGCGCTGTCCAAGGTGCTGAGGCCACAGCGGCTGCCGGGGGGCGCTGTCCACGGTGCTGAGGCCACAGTGGCTGCCGGGGGCGCTGTCCACGGTGCTGAGGGCACAGCGGCTGCCGGGGGCGCTGTCCACGGTGCTGAGGGCACAGCGGCTGCCGGGGCGCTGTCCACGGTGCTGAGGTCACAGCGGCTGCCGGGGGGCGCTGTCCACGGTGCTGAGGCCACAGCGGCTGCCGGGGCGCTGTCCACGGTGCTGAGGCCACAGCGGCTGCCGGGGCGCTGTCCAAGGTGTTGAAGACACCGCCGCCCAACCCCGCCGAGCCTTGGCTGGAGAAAGGGCGCCCCACACCTCAGGGGGCACTTTAATGAAATATTCGAGAGCGCCCCAGCCGGTGTGGCTCAGCGGAGAGAGCGTCGGCCTGCGGACCGAAGGGTCCTGGGTTCGATTCCGGTCAAGGGCACGTACCTTGGTTGCAGGCTCCTCTACGTCCCAGGCCCTGGTCAGGGCGAATGCAGGAGGCAACCCATCGCTGTGTTTCTCTCACACCGATGTTTCCATCTCTCTCTCCCTCTCCCTTCCTCTCTGAAATCCACTGAGCCAAGCCGGCTTTCAACACAGCCGTCGCCACCGCTACTCTCGCCACACTTTTCCGGTGGTGACTGGGAAGCCATCGGGGAGTGCAGGTGACGGGCGCGGGCGCGGTCCACGGGATGAACTCTGAGCTGGAGCACGCGTGGGCGCCAAGCAGTGCTGTCGCTCACGGAGGGCCTTGGGCGCCGGCAGGAGGTCATCGCCTGGAGTCGCGGGCGCTCTCATCACTCAGGCCTCCTGGGCCTGTGCCTTTAATTCAATCAACGGTTCCGTTTAATGGACCTGATGACGGGCAATAAACGGCGAACAGGCGCCATCCTGGGGAGGCTTCCGCTCTGACCTGCGATTAAATGCCCTGGAAACGCAGGTTGGCCCGTCTGCTCCGCATCTGAATGTGGCCGTGACTCAGCTGCCAGTCACACAGACGCAGACACCCACCGGCGGTAAAGTAGAGGCTTAGTTTGTGCTCAGTGGGGATGGGAACAAGGAAACCGTCTCTGCAATGTTTTCAGAGCTGCACCTGTCACCGGGGTGGCAGCAATGACTAAAGGTCTATGAGTGAGTGAGTGAATGAGTGAACAGCTGAATGAGTGAGTGAGTGAATGAATGAATGAATGAATGATCAACTTGGCGATGAATGAACAACTGAATGGATGAATGACAGGGCACTTGGATGGACAAGTGGAAAACACAGCAGCTGAACCTGAGAATTACTCACAAAACCCACGTTACCAGAAACACCTGTGGTCGCAAGGACACATGCCGATTCCCTGATTCCTGTCGGGGCCCAGCTGAGTTTCCGCATAAGAAACATGCTGCAGAACACCTTGTATGAGAGGCGACGGGCGGGCGGTTTTCTCCAGAAATTGAGGTGCTAGAGAGGGAGGAGTATTTTGTGCGTGAATGCACCTCACGTTACGTCAGCCTTCTGTACTGACTGTTTAAGTAGAAAGATGTACAC